GCATAAGTGTTCGCAATAAAGCTAATAGAATCCTTGGCTTTATATCAAGAAGCATAAATAATAGGAGTCCTCAGGTTGTTCTTCAACTCTATACATCCTTGGTTAGGCCTCATTTAGATTTGCTGCACAGTTTTGGTCACCCTATTACAGAATGGATTAAATTCTCTGGAAAATGTACAAAGGAGGATGACAAAGTTGATCCATGTATCAGAAACCTTCCCTATGAGGATAGACTAAGGGCCCCGAAAACTGCACTCTCTAGAAAGACGTGAATTAGGGGGGATATGATTGAGGTGTAAAAAATGGAAGACAGGAATAAATAAAGGGGATGTAAATAGTGTGCTGAAAATATTTTAGGGCCCAGACAGGACTCGCAGCAATGGTTTTAAGGTTGGAAAAATTCAGATTCAGGAAGGATATAGGAAAGTACTGGTTGGTAATAGAGTTTGTGGATGAGTGGAACAAAAATCCCAAGTACCGTTATAGGGCTAGAACGTTGTGTAGCTTTAAAATTTGGTTGGATTTAAATACATGAGTAGATGTGGGTGGGTGTGAGTTAGACGTGATAGCTTGTGCTACCAGGTCGGTTGCCGTGTTCCTCCCTTAAGTCAATGTGACCTGACCTGACTAGGTTGGGTGCATTGGTTAAGCCCGGGAGGGAGACTTGGACCTGCCTCGCATGGGCCAGTAGGCCTTCTGCAGTGTTCCTTCGTTCTTATGTTCTTATGTTCTTATGTTCCCTATGAGGATAGACTAAGGGCCCTGAATCTGCACTCTCTAGAAAGACGTAGAATTAGGGGGGATGTGATTGAGGTGTATAAATGGAAAACAGGAAAAATAAAGGGGATGTAAATTGTGTGCTGAAAATATCTAGCCTAGACAGGACTCGCAGCAATGGTTTTAAGTTGGAGAAATTCAGATTCAGGAAGGATATAGGAAAGTACTGGTTTGGTAATAGAGTTGTGGATGAGTGGAACAAACTCCCGAGTACAGTTATAGAGGCCAGAGCGTTTTGTAGCTTTAAAAATAGGTTGGATAAATACATGAGTGGATGTGGGTGGGTGTGAGTTGGACCTGATAGCTTGTGCTACCAGGTCGGTTGCCGTGTTCCTCCCTTAAGTCAATGTGACCTGACCTGACTAGGTTGGGTGCATTGGCTTAAGCCGGTAGGAGACTTGGACCTGCCTCGCATGGGCCAGTAGGCCTTCTGCAGTGTTTCTTCGTTCTTATGTTCTTATGTTATGTGACAGAGTGTAGCATATTAGTCATAAGATGTTTACCAAATATACATTAAGGTGAGGAGTATCAGTTGTTCATAATTTTATCTCTAGTGAAAATTGAACTAAATATAAGCTGATCTACAGGATTGTTTTTGGATTTAGTGTATAATTATTACAAATGTCTGTAACGTGACTATTGGCATAATATATGTTGCAAGTGTAATGCCTGTTGAGGTGTATGTGTTTTTAGCTGTACTTAGTAGTTAACATTATTGTGTCATGTAGGTACTGAATTTAGGTGTTTTATTCTACATTGTCTGTGTAAAAAGGTGCCCCTTGTTTTAGATCGTTGAATTAGCGTCTATTACTTTTAGGTTTATGGGAGATAACAGGAAGCACACTTTACCCGGAAGGGAGGTCGGTGTGCGAACGTAATTATCTAGATTCCATACGAAGAATACCTAAATTGGATATGATCGTCAGTAGCGAGTTGTGAATGGTGTTGTGTAGGATGTAATGGCAATCGAGTCAGTACACATATCCTTGTAATCAAAAGTGTAAAATTGAGTATGTTGTATAATCAATGTATGAGGGGACAACGTCATAATCGTGAGGTGTGTGTTGGTGTGTCGTGTATATATTAAAACAGGGGTTCCAACCAGGGGTGCTCGCACCCCCTGGGGGTGCGAGACATCATTCCAGGGGGTGCGAGAAGGGTCCGTCTTAATAACAGGAAATTGATTCATTTATTACTTATCAATATTCAATAATCATAGTAAAATTACCATTATCTTTATTTTCATCTCTTTATTTCAGATTATCATCATAACCCTTCACCATGTCGAAGAAAAGGAAATGGAATGATGACTACGTTCGTTTTGGTTTCACTTGCAACGGAAAGACTGAGGATCTGCAAAAGCCTCAGTGCATAATCTGTGGAATTGTTTTCTCCCCAAAGCTAATTGAAGCCATCTAAGCTGCAAGAACAAAATTCCAAAAAAACCAATGGTGGGGCCAATGTTGCGGGCCATGATTTCACGTCGTTGCAAGCTAAAAGAGCCCGTTTTGATTCTCGAGCAACCCTTCCAAAATTAGGGTTTATATGTGTTGACAAACCACTGCTGATGACTTCATGCCAAGTGGAATACAAAGTAGCAAAGACTAAGAAACCTCATACTATTGCAGAAGAGCTTATCAAACCATGTGCATTAGAAATGGCTACAACTATTCTCGGAAATGAAGCAAGAAAGAAGCTTGAATTAGTGCCACTGTCAAATAATGTTATTCGAAGCCGAATTGACGACTTGAGTTTAGATATTTTGGAACAAGTTATCTCACATATGAAGGCTAATCCCTTGAAAATCTCCCTTCGGTTGGACGAAACTACTGATGTTTCTAATTGCATTCAACTTATTGCACTGGTGAGGTATGTTCATGATGGTGCCATAAAGGAGAACTTCCTTTTCTGTGAACAACTGAAAACAACCACCAAAGCAAAAGATGTGTTTCAGTTTATGAAAGACTTCTTTGCAAAATATGAAATGGATATCCAAATTATTGGATCTGTGTGTACTGATGGCGCTCCTGCTATGCTGGGAAATAAATATAGATTTTTTGCACTGATGAAACAGAAGATTCCATACTTGCAAGGTACTCACTGTTTCCTTCATCGTCATACTTTGGCATCAAAAACCTTGCCTCCAAAATTGAAGAACGTCCTTGATACTTCAGTAAAGACCATCAATTGGATTGGAGGTCGTGCTCAAAATCACCGCCTTTTTAAGTCACTTTGTGAAGATCTTGAAAGTGAACAACAGTTTTACTTTTCCACACACAAGTCCGATGGTTCTCCCGTGGGAGAGTTTTAACTCGCTTCTTCGAACTGCCAGAAGAAATCAAAGTATTTCTGAAGGAACGTCGTTGTGATCTGCTGGAAGAGTTGGAATTGCAAGAATTCAATCAAATTTTAGCGTATTTGAGTGACATATTCACTCGTATGAATGATCTGAGTTTATCACTTGAAGGTAAAAATATAAACATGCTGAATTGCTATGAAAGGCTAAATGTATTCAAAGATAAGTTATATCTGTGGTGTCAACGAGTGAAAAGAGGAAATCTTTCAAGTTTTCCATCACTTGAAGAAATAGCTGATGGTAATGAATCTTCAAGTTTGATTCCTAGTGTTTGTGGAGAAATTGTGATTCATTTGGAAGTGCTGTCAGCGTCATTTGATAGATATTTTGATGTAGGGAAGCTGGAATCATCTGAAGAATGGATTATGAATCCTTACTCCTTCAATTTGGATAAAATGTCAGGTGATGGAGAGCTGAAAGAAGATCTTATAGATCTGCGTTCAAATCGTGCTCTTGAAATGCAATTTGAGAGTAAAACTTTGGAAGAGTATTGGTGCTCGACTCTGGTTCTATTTCCAAGACTTTGTGACACCACTAACTGTGCTAATTCCATTTTCGACAACTTATTTATGTGAATCAGGATTTAGTACTCTTTTGTCAATTAAGACAAAATCTAGAAATCGTTTGAATGCGCAGGCAGACATGCGTGTTGCTATCACCAACAGTTCCCCGTTTTGAAAAACTCACAAGCAAGAAACAGGAACAAAAGAGTTAAAATGAATTCGCAAATTTTTTGGAAGTCAGCCTTTTGATTTTATTATCTTGTACATATTTAAAGAAAGTAACTATTTTTTGTATGGTATATTCAAATGTTAATCGGAGACATCCTTTCTTGTCCATATGTTTGATTTTTTACATATTAAAAAAATAAAATTCCTTTCAAAAGGTTTGAAAGCTAGTTCTTGATTTGACTTTTTTGTATATATTTCAAGCAAGAGTTATTATTTTTAAGGTGTATTCAAATATCATTGTGATATGTTTCTTTTCTGTAAGTCTGAATTTTGTTCACATATATTAGAAAGTGAAATAAATATCTTCTTTTGATAAAATTTAGTATGATTCCACATCCTTTATCCTTGAACAAAGTTTAAATTGTAGGGGGTGCGAGGTTAGTGCAAAAATGTTATAGGGGGTGCGGGAGTAAGAAAAGGTTGGGAACCACTGCATTAAAGGTCAGAAGAATGGGGTTTATTTGTATACTCAGGTCAGTGAAAGTATACTTTTTGAGGGGGGACTGTAATTTTGTTTTGTATCATTCTTATAATTACTCACAGGTGTGGGTGAGTATCGGTTGTGTAAGTTATAGATAGCATTGTACTGCCATGATGTCTCAGTGTACTAACCCAGTAGACTGAGTACTGGAACCATTACTTATAATTCGTGTTTGGTTTATATATTATAATTCGTGTTTGGTTTTTATATGTACTTGTTTATATACAATTCTGTATGAAGGATTAACAACATATAAATAACAAAGTGGAAAATTAATGCATATTGTAGGTTTGGTGCTTCTCTTTATTTATAATAATAATAATGCATATTGTAAGCATTTTGGCTGATGTAATGTAGTCTTGTGTAATCTTGCTCTTAACATAGGTTGCAAAGGGATATAATACATAGGGGATGAGGGACAGTTTGTGTCAGCACAAAATTAAACGTCCTGTGTGTATTTTCACAATGAAATTTATAATTCTGTGTTAGAACTGGTACTGTGTTCTTTTATCTATTTAATGTATTGTATTGTTTTAAATAAAATATAAAAAAAAATATCTTTGATTTCGCTTTCTAGAGCGACGATGTAGTCCCTGATATTGTCAGGAATAATCATACCTGAGTTACCATGGGTGAATTCCCTGAAGGGAGTGGAGTTGGAGGGGGAGTCAGCCATGTTGGTTGTGGTGGTGAGGGAGGTTGACGCACCGGCGTCATGCTGGGTACACGAGTTCTAGGCTCCTTGGTAAGTTTGATATTGGCCTATAGTTGTTTACATCTGTAGGGTCACCACCTTTATGTATTGGTGTAACCCTTGCTGTCTTAAGTAGTGTCGGGAAAGTGCTAGTTTCTAGTGACTTGTTAAAAAGTAATGAGATAGCATGGGAAAGGACATGGCCGCTCGCTTGTACAATAATGGTGGCACGTGAGACAGATTCCCAGAGTTATTTTTTAGTAACTTAATAATCTCTGTGACTTCTGAGGGCTCAGTTGGTACAAGATAGAAGGAATTTGGGAAATTCCCATCTGGGTAGTCCCCGGCGTTGGTATGTGGGATTTTACTGGCAAGATTAGAACCTATGGTTGAGAAGTCGTTTATCTTGTTAGCTGTGTCAGTGGGATGTAGTGGTGTTTCATTAGGCTCAGTTAGGACAGTATTCTTGTTTTCTTTAGTTTGTGGATCCCCAGAATCTGGAAAAGTGTTTTCCAGGTCTTTTTTATATCTCCTCTTGTGTCTGTGAATCTACTGGAGTAGTATAGTTGTTTGGCTTTCTTTATTACTTTGGTGAGAACTGATGAATAGCGTTTAAGAATATCTTTGTGTATTAAGCCCTGTCTATATTGCTTTTCATATTGGTGTTTCTTGTCAATGGATTTCAGAATGGTGCTGGTTAGCCATGGGCAATCAAGCCGTTTGTTTGTGATCTGTTTCGTTTTTATAGGACAATGTTTGTTGTATAGTCTAAGTAATTTGTTAAGAAAAATGTCTGTCCAGTCATCAATACCATTGGCCTTGGAGAATTCTGTAGGCCAATCAACAGTCTCTAGGTCAGCTGTGAACTTCCTTACTGAGGCCTCGTCATGGAGTCTAAATGAGACTTTGTTGTATTCAAGTGGTGGTTTACTAATGTTTGTCAGGAGGAAGGTAGGGTAGTGGTCTGTAGTGCTATCTGTGATTATCCCTGATTTAAGGGGGGCTAGTATATTGGTCCATATGTGGTCTATTATGGTTGCACTTGTCTCAGTGAGCCTGGTTGGTTTAGTTATTGTTGGTATGAGAAGTGTGTTGTTCATATTGTTGATGAAATCAGTTACAGGCTGATCATCTAGTAAGCCAAGGTTGATGTTGAAGTCTCCAGCTAAGAGAAGGTGGTGCTTATTCATTTGTCTGTTTGTTATTAGTGACTTTAATTTCTCACTGAAATTTGGGATGTTTGTGTGAGGTATCCGGTAAATAGCACCGATTGTTATAGGTGTCTTAAGGTTTTTTTACAGTAAAATTAGCAAAAATGTATTCCCCATATTCATCACTAAAGCAAGTGGTGCTAATACAAGATAATTGGTTAGAGTAATAGATTGCAATACCACCCCCAACTTGGTTTGGTCTGCAGTTGTGAATTGCTGTGTATCCTGGTAGAGGGTAGATATCTATTGTGTCCTGCTTAAGCCAGGTCTCAGTAAGAATAATGCAGGAGAAGGGTGTTTTTAGTGATTCAAGGAGTGCCAGGTCATCATAGTGTTTGCTTAAGGACCTGATGTTGTAGTTAAGTACTGATAGACTTTTAGCATTGTTTAGGATAGTGCTGGCTTTTGATGCTGTGTAATAAAGGCAATTACTTTCCAATAGGTTTTGATTGGGTGTTAGATTATGGAGGTTTAGATCAGGGTCAACGTGATCATTCATCTAGGTCTAAATTGTGGTTATTCATGTCCTGAATTGTGTTGAGTTCTAGTACTGATATCTGTAGTAGTGGGAAGTTTTGACAAGTATATAGCTAAAGCACTTTGGCATATAGAATATAGTCACTAGTAAACATAATGAAGTTTATGTTGTCTATGTGTTGTGCTAGAATGAGCTAAAGTACTACTAGGTATAAACTAATAATATAAAAATACAATTTAAAAATAGCACCAGATTCTCACTTGTAATTGCACTAAGGTCTAATATAATGAATTTGGTATTATCTATGTATTGAGCTAGAATGAGCTAGAGTACAACTAGATTTTATCTAATATCAAAAGTACTAGTTTAAAATGGCACAAGACTCTCACTTGTAATTGCACTAAGGTCTAATATAAGTTGTTAACAAGAACTAGAGTATAACTAGATTTAAGTTGAAAAGATAAGATACACAAGTTAAGGTAGTAAAAGAATAATAAAAAATAAATAAAAATGGCAATGACTTGGTTATAATATGATAGTAAGATGGTAGACAGGATAATAAAAAAGTTGGAGTTGAATATACAAGCTTAAAAATTTGGTAACAAGAGGTTAAAAAAAAGTATAAACTATAAACTACGTATAATAAAAACTACCCACATAATACTGTAATGTAATGTACAATCATTATTTCATTCTTTTTACCATAATTTTCTTTTATTGTTATATTTTAATTATTTATGTACTATATATAATGTATACATGGTAGTGAACTGTATTATAAATTTTACATCGCATACAGTATCGTATGTTACTGTTATCTTTAAGTATTGTCGACACAGCGGAATGGGAGAATACCACTGGTAGTGTCATCCTGCCAGAATGTAGTATAACCTATACCCTAAGTAAAGAGAAATAACTCTGCAACATGTGTAATACGTATCTGGCTGGGTGGGTTGTCGGTTGGCTGACTGAATGTGGCTCTCTCTCTCTGTCTCTCTCTGTATCTCTCTCGCTGTATCTCTGTATCTCTCTCGCTGTATCTCTGTATCTCTCTGTATCTCTCGCTGTATCTCTCTCTGTATCTCTGTATCTCTCTGTATCTGTATCTATCTCTCTCTCTGTATCTCTCAATCTCTCTCTGTATCTCTCTCTCTCTGTATTTCTCTCTCTCTCTCTGTATCTCTTTCTCTCTGTATCTCTCAATCTTTGTATCTCTCTCTCTGTATCTCTCTGTATCTCTCTCTGTATCTGTCTCTCTGTATCTCTCTCTCTGTATCTCTCTCTCTGTATCTCTCTCTCTGTATCTCTCTCTCTGTATCTCTCTCTCTCTGTATCTCTCTCTCTGTATCTCTCTCTCTGTATCTCTCTGTATCTCCCTCTCTGTATCTCTCTCTGTATCTCTCTCTCTGTATCTCTCTCTCTGTATCTCTCTCTCTGTATCTATCTATCTCTGTATCTATCTATCTCTGTATCTCTCTCTCTGTATCTATCTCTCTCTGTATCTATCTCTCTCTGTATCTCTCTCTCTCTCTGTATCTCTCTCTCTGTATCTCTCTCTCTGTATCTCTCTCTGTATCTCTCTCTGTATCTCTCTCTGTATCTCTCTCTGTATCTCTCTCTCTGTATCTCTCTCTGTATCTCTCTCTCTGTATCTCTCTCTCTGTATCTCTCTCTCTGTATCTCTCTCTCACAGGTACACGTAAGTAAAGTTATCATACATAGTATAAATTACCTAGGATAGCCCAAAAAATCCAGACAGTGCTATACAGTGGATCTGTGCTCCAGTGCCCTAAATTAATAATAATAATAATTATTATTATTACAATAATACACATGTACTAATATTAATAATAATAATATTAAACTATAATATAATAATCGTGTCCACTAATTACTTACCTTAAAATATCTGTAGTCTTAATGTAGAGTGAGAGGTGAGTAAACAAGATTAAATGAATAAACAAGAGAGAGAATGAGAGTGAAGTTTCGCGAGTTATGTAAACAAACGTTGTCGTTACCAGCCTGGACATGAATGGTTTTTGTTCACTCTGTTAAGCTGACCAGAAAAACATCTCCTATTTGTTAATTTATATGTTTATATGTTATGTAGCATGTTTATTATATAATTTTGAAAAAAAACATAGATGGATTAGGCAAAATGTCTATATTAATGTTTTATACACATTTAATGCGCCTCAGTGATTATTATTGTGTTATTATCATTATTAATATGGTGTCTTCAAGACCAATTACACTCTTAATGAGTGGCTCTGAGACAGACAAGCAGACATAAAGACAGACGCATAGGTAGACGTAAAGACAGACGCACAGGTAGACGTAAAGACAGACACACAGGTAGACGTAAAGACAGACACACAGGTAGACGTAAAGAGACACACAGGTAGACGTAAAGAGACACACAGGTAGACGTAAAGAGACACACAGGTAGACGTAAAGACAGACACAGACGTAAAGAGAGACAGGCAGACGTAAAGAGAGACACAGGCAGACGTAAAGAGAGACACAGGCAGACGTAAAGAGAGACACAGGCAGACGTAAAGAGAGACACAGGCAGACGTAAAGAGAGACACAGGCAGACGTAAAGAGAGACACAGGCAGACGTAAAGAGAGACACAGGCAGACGTAAAGAGAGACACAGGCAGACGTAAAGAGAGAGACAGGCAGACGTAAAGAGAGAGACAGGCAGACGTAAAGAGAGAGACAGGCAGACGTAAAGAGAGAGACAGGCAGACGTAGAGAGAGACACAGGCAGACGTAGAGAGAGACACAGGCAGACGTAGAGAGAGACACAGGCAGACGTAGAGAGAGACACAGGCAGACGTAGAGAGAGAGACAGGCAGACGTAGAGAGAGAGACAGGCAGACGTAGAGAGAGAGACAGGCAGACGCGAAGACAGGCACGCAGGCAGACGCGAAGACAGGCACGCAGGCAGACGCGAAGACAGGCACGCAGGCAGACGCGAAGACAGGCACGCAGGCAGACGCGAAGACAGGCACGCAGGCAGACGCGAAGACAGGCACGCAGGCAGACGCGAAGACAGGCACGCAGGCAGACGCGAAGACAGGCACGCAGGCAGACGCGAAGACAGGCACGCAGGCAGACGCGAAGACAGGCACGCAGGCAGACGCGAAGACAGGCACGCAGGCAGACGCGAAGACAGGCACGCAGGCAGACGCGAAGACAGGCACGCAGGCAGACGCGAAGACAGGCACGCAGGCAGACGCGAAGACAGGCACGCAGGCAGACGCGAAGACAGGCACGCAGGCAGACGCGAAGACAGGCACGCAGGCAGACGCGAAGACAGGCACGCAGGCAGACGCGAAGACAGGCACGCAGGCAGA